TGTTATTATTTCTTTGAGAACTTTCTACCTCAATCTCTCTCTCTACCTCCTCTATAAGGCCATTAACTCTTAGATTTGCCATTTTGAGAATATTTTCTAGATCTCGTATATGTGTTTCATTTTTAATTCTTTTTTCTCTTCTGTGTATTTTCAAAAAGCCTGTCTTCATGCTCACTAATTCTTTCATCTGCTTCATCAGTTCTGCTGTTGAGAGACTGTAGACAAACTGCATCTTTCAGTTTGTCACTTTAATTTTTTAGCTCCATAATTTCTTCTTGATTTTTTTCATTACACCAATCTCTTTGTTAAATTCCTCTGTTAGTATTCTGAATTCTTTCTCTGTGTTGTCTTGAAGTTCACTGAGCTTCTTCAGAACAACCATTTTGAATTCTCTCTCTGAAAGGTCACTCTGGGATTTGCCACTAGTATCTTATTTAGTTTGTTTGGTGAGGTCATTTTTCCTAGATGTCCTTGATGCCTGTGGATGTTCATTGATGTCCGGGCATTGAAGAATTAGGTTATTATTCTAATTTCCACAGTCTGGGGTTGTATTTACCCATTCTTCTTTCCAGGTACTCAAAGGGAATTGAGTGTTATAATCTAACTGTCAGCTAACTGAAACCATATCAGCAATAGGGGGTGCTCCAAGCCCAGTATTGCTTCAACTCTAGCAAACTCCTGGTGGTACTGCCTTGATGGACTTGGGTAAGTGATGGGAGAATCCCCTGCATTACCAGGCAATGTCTCTCATTCCCTTTCCTCACTTTCCCCCAAACAGAAGGAGTCTTACTCTCCATGCTGGGCTTCCTGGAATTGGGAGAGGGATGACATGAGCACTCCCCCATGGCCACCACACCTATACGGCACCCAATCACATCTGAAGCCAGCACAATCTCACCCCAGGCCTGTGGCAACTACTGCCTGGGTACCATTGATGTTTATTCAAGGACCAAGGGCTTTCCAGTCAGCATGTGGTGAATCCTTTTAGGACTGATTCCTTCCCTTCAGGGCGGCAAGCTCCCTTCTTGCCCAGCATGAGTCTAGAAATGCCCTCTAGGAGCTATGGCCTGGAATCAGGGGCTTCAAGAATCTTCTTCGTACTTCATTTTACTACGGCTGTGCTGGTACTCAAGTTGCAAGACAAAAACCTTAATACTCTCCCCTTCCGTTTCCCCAGCTGGAAGGATTCTCTCCTGGAGCTTCACTGCTTGGAGTTGGGGGAGGGGTGATGCACCCACTCCTTTGGCTGCCACAGATGGTGTCTCACTGGGTCATATGTGCCCCAAGTCCACTGGCTTTGAGCCCAGCACAACAGCAGTACTTGCTCAAAGACTGCAGTTTTTGTGGCCTGACTCCCTTGCAAATTTATTCTGGGCCCCAGGCTGCTTTCATCATCTGGTGGCAGAACTAGCTGGAACTCAGGTTCCTACTGCAAGGATGGAGGATTCTCCTCTGGCCGGGGCTGGGCTAAATGCTCCCTTCACGGGTACCAGCAGAATTCTGCCCTGTGTTGTGTTTCCCTGTGACAGGGTGGCCCTGAGTTCCAATGCAAATTTCCACAGTCACTTTGATCTTCCTCCAAGCAAGCAGATTCTCTCTCCACCTGGTGCTGGTGCAGTGCTACTACAGTATGGGGGAGAGTTTGTGTATCAATGCAAGACTGTCTTTCCTACCCTCTTCTGTGATTTTTTCCTTGATATAATGTTAAAACTAAGTACTGTGGTTACTCACTTGATTTTTGGTTCTTAGGAAGGTGCTTGCTTGCGTAGACAGCTATTCAATTTGGTATTGCTGCCAGGGGGATTATCACTGGAGGGTTCTATTTGGCCATCTTTCTCTACCTCAGTTCCACATATAACTTTTAAGATATATGATATAGCAGTTTGGGTTCCCAGGGGAAACCAACTCTGCAATGTAGACTAGAATGCAAGAAGTTTATTAGAGAATGCTCTCTGGATCGATACAGAGGAGGAAAGAAAGAAAGCAAGCTTGGCCAAAGGGGGAGTTTGGCTCTGATGCAGTCCCAACAAAGTCCTCAGTTGACCCAATGAGAATCTTTCAAACTGAGATTACTTTCTTCAAAATTGCCTCAAAATGGGACAAGAATATTAGGCCTTTTAAAATTTTTTTTTTGTCAAATTTGTTTAAGCCCACATGAATCAGTATTAGGTGTGAGAACCCCTGGAGAATGGAGTGAAGCAGCTTTCTACAACTTGGTAGAAATTCCCTTAAAGGACTAACAGGAGAGGACTGTGAGATAACACTTCCAACCACTGGAGAAAATATTAATACATTTTTCAGTTGCGATGAGAAATCTGGGTAGTGCATTACAGTATCACCTACAATTATCATCCAAAAATTTTCTAAAATTTTAATGTTGTCTTTAAGGAACATGTGCTTTTTCTAGTAGAAGTTCTTGAAATATAAACATTTAAAATTATATATGAATTCTAGATGCGGCGGGCAAGGAGCGTGGCAACTACCGCCAAGCCGTGTGGGCAGAAGCGGTCCGGGGCCGCCCGTGGCCACCGCCCCGGCTGCCAACACCAGCTCGTTGCTGGGCGAGCCAGGCCAGGCCGGGGGCGGGGACCAGGGGGCTGCGAAGCAGCCCTTGGCGAAGCGGCGGCTGAGGAACCGGTGGCGGCGGGCCCAGGAGGCGGGCCCGGGGAGCAGCCAGAGCTGGCGCTGCTCCAGCCGCCGACTCCGTCCTCGGTGTCCACGCTGGACCTGGGCAAGAAGCGGGAGCGCTGGGAGCTGTTCCAGAAATGGCAGAGGCTCACCTCCGAGGGCGCTGCCAAGCTCCTGCTGGACACCTTTGATTAGCAGGGCCTGGTAAAGCACACAGGAGGTTGCCACTGTGGAGCAGTTCGTTTGAAGTTTGGGCTCCAGCACGCTTGCACAGCTTTGACTGCAACTGCAGCATTTTCAAGAAGCATCAGAATAGACACTTCATTGACCCAGCTTCTCTCTTCAAGCTCCTGAAGGGAGCCGAGAATATAACCACTTACACGTTCAATGCGCACAAAGCCCAGCACATCTTCTGCAAGAGATGTGGTGCTCAGAGCTTCTACACTCCTCGCTCAAACCATGGAGTCTTTGGAATTGCCCCCCACTGCCTGGATGAGGGCACCGTGCGGAGCGCAGTCACTGAGGAGTGCAATGGCAGCGATTGGGAAAAGGTCATGAAGGAGCACAAGACCATCAGGAACATGTCTAAAGAGTGAGCTTCTCCCTGTCCCTTCCTGAAAAGGAGGAATGATTGGGGCCAGCAGCCGTGCTGTCCCTGCCACACCTGGGTGTTGCTCCTGGATATGGCCGCCCCAGGCTGCTGGCTCCGCTGGCCAGCAGCCACCTTGATCTGTGCCGTTTGCTCCAGCTACCACTTTCTTTAGGCAGCTCTTTGTCTTTCCTTAGCCCGGATTTTGATGTAGGCTAGTTGACATCCTTCCTTCTCTTCCCAACTTTTGTGTGATCTTATAGGGAAAAAAAATAAATATTTTTAAAATTAAAAAAAATAAATAAAATTATATATGAATTCTAACATGATCAGTTTCTTCCATTTGTAAATTCATATGAGGATTGTGAACACTTAGAAAAAGACTTTTAACAATCAAGTATCTATTTGAAAAGAAAAAAGTACTTCACTTTTCACCAAATGATGTTTTTCCTTTTGAAGCTTCCTGCACAATAACATCACTCAAATTATATTAATTAATTGAAAATTATTTACATTGAATGATTTAATTAGCCTAATGCATTCCATCAAAATGTGATTTTTTTCTGAATCGTTAAAACCAGATAGAAGTTTTAAAATAGAATCTTGACTATTCTCTAAACAAGATTAATCATTGCTTTAAAAGTTAGGTTTGCTTTGTCTTACATGTATCCTTTCCTTTCTGAAATTGTAATGATGTTCTTAAGCTTCTGACTCAAAGCTTTAAAGTCTGTAGAATTTTTACATAGTCTTTTAATCCTTTGTCTTTGTCTAGTAAACATGGTTAAAGATTAGGAAATTTAAAAACTGAATTGATCACTACACTAATGAAGACTGTATTTTGCATAGAACCTTCAGCTATGAAAATAAGCAACAACTTATGTGGTCAGAGTTTTCATGGGATAAAGAGGCAAGGTTTTCCATAGGAGGTGTGCACAGACTAAAAGGGTAGGTGAAAGCCCAGAACAGAAACTTGCAAACTGGACTTGAGAAAATAGTGGTGATTGGGGTACATGCAGGGGTTGGAAAGAATTTTTGTCCAGGAAACAGCTCTCCAACTTAATTCTTGAGTCTTTTACTTTATGTCCCCTCAACTCTGTTGAGCTATAATTGACCAATAAAAATTGTATATGATTATGGTGTACAACATGATGTTTTAATATAAGTATACATTGCGAAATGATTACCACAATCACACTAATTAACATATCCATCACCTCACATAGTTAGTTACCTTTTTTTGTGCTGAGAATACTTAAGACCTACTCTCTTAGCAAATTTCATGTATGAAATACATTATTATTAACTATAGTCATTATGCTCTGGTTGGAGAAGAAAGGGGATAATTCCTTTCCTCCCCATCATAAAGGGTCACAGATGACATCCCTAAAGCAAAAGACATGTTAAGAAAAGAAGCATGATAAATTTATTAACATGCATAATATATGGGAGCCACATAAAAATATGAAGAGTTCAAAAAATGGGCCAGATGATTGATACTTTAATATCCTCCTTATTGGAAAGAGTAAAGTTATGGAAGGAGCTGTAAATGAATGGGCCCAAAATCCAGGAAATGGTTTGTAAAAAATTGTTGTTAGACATTAAATTGTACCAAAGGACAAATAAGAGCTTGCGGACAAGTTATGGAAAGGTGAGGAGCAGAAATGCATTGTGAACAAACATTGTTTTAGTATGCAGACATAGTCCCCCAGGTAATCTCTTGGAGCTTTCTTTGTAAAAATAGATAAAAAATTGATATGGGCATGGTGACAAGTCTGGGCATGATGTCTGTTCTTTTCTCTTCTCACAATGGTTAAGTTTTCCTGGTTATTTTATTTGATTCCTAGGGTTTTTAAGACAATTGTATTCCTTTTAGAAGTTTTCTCAGTTACATAATGTAATTTTCAGAGGCAGCCCGTCTCAGTACTTTAGAAAAGAAAGAGTATTAGAGAGACAGGAAGGCAGGGGAAGGTCATAGAGAGACCTTGAGGCTGCTTCTTTAGTTTAGCATGCCATAACATCATATGTTGAGGTATCTATTTCTGATCCCAACGTTGAAAAATAGGTCTCCAGAATTTATGTATCTTTTAACTGCAAGTTTATATTCTTTGATCAACATATCCCTAATTCCCCCATCCCTAATCCCTGGTAACCACCCTTCTATTTTCTACTTCTATGAATTTGACTTTTTAGATTTTACATATAAGGGGGATCATCCGATATTTGTCTTTCTATGTCTGGCTTATTTCACTAGCATAATGTCCTCCAGGTTCATCCATGTTGTCACAGACAGAAGAATTTCCTCCTTTAAAGACTGAATAATATTCCATTATAAATGGAATATATAATTCCATTATAAATGGAATGTAAATGGAAATAAAATTCCATTATAAATGATAGGCATAATTTGTTTACATATGTTGGCTATTCTTAACAATACTGTAATAAACACGGGAGTGCTGACAGTGATTTTATATCTTTGGATATATTCTCAGTAGCAGGATTTCTGGGTTATATTGGATCATACAGTAGTTTTATTTTTAATTTTTGAGGAACCTCCATACTATTTTCCATAATGTCTTTACCAATTCACATTCCCACCAGCAGTGTAAAAGAGCTCATTTTTCTCCACATCCTCATTGACACTTGTTATCTTTTTATTTTTTAATGATAGCGATAATAACAGATGTGAGATGCTATCTCATGGTTTTGATTTGCATTTCTGTGATGATTAGTGATGCTGAGCACCTTTCGGTATACCTGTTAGCTATTCGTATGTCTTTTAGAGTAATGTCTATTCAGGTCCTTTAACTATTTTTTTAACCAAGTTATTCATTGTTTTACTATTGAATTGTGTAAGTTCTTTATATATTTTGGATATTAATCCCTTATTACATAAATAGTTTGCAAATATGTTCCTCCATTTTGTAGGTTGTCTTTTCATTTTGTTGATTTTTTTATGGTTCAGAAACTCTACATTTTGATATAGTTTCACTTGTCTATTTTTGCTTTTGTTGCCTGTGCTTTTGCTGTCATAACCAAAAAA